GCTGCTTGCCTTCTCTCTCTCTCTGGTGAGTTTGTCTTGCTGCTGTAGACTGAAGACTGGCTGAATTTTTGGAATTCATCAGACCTTCAGTGCCAGATTGGGACTACTGAGACATGCAGCCGTTTGGACTGAGTGACTATGCATTCTCAGCCTCTCCAGTGTGGTGCAGCCATTGTTGGACTACTCGGACTATCCTGTGAGCTAAGCTGATAAATCTCTATACATATATCTTCATTCTACTGATTCTGTTTCTTTGGAGAACCCTGACTAATACAGGTCCCAAACCCACATAGGAAATTTAGCTTTCTGTATTCTAATTATGGACAATACAGATAGTAAGGACTATTTTAATGACAAAGGTTTATCAAAAGTGAAAATATAGTAAATTATATCACTATTCACCAAGGTTACTGTAAACCTAGACATATCTTCAACTCTAAAATTCCCTAAGGAAAATAAGTAAATGATTCATTAAATTTGAATAATAATAAGAAATGCAGAATATAGTGTTTCTCAGTTTTCTTACTAACATTTAGTTTTGATATATCATATAGGAGATAATAATGTAGTGGTTGATAAGGTCAGCACATAAAGATTTTTAGGTTACCATGAATTATTCTCTGCAAGAAGGACTAATAATCAAACTGGACATGTAATAAAAAATAATGAATATTTATATTAGAATAAGGAAAGACAGTATCAAAATTTAAAAGTGAGATATCATTTGTAATGGGGCTTTAAGGTTTATAACACCTGTGCTGCTTGTGAGGCTGAAATGATTTAATATACGTAGAATACTCAAAACACAACTGGATGCAGAAATAAGTATTTGATAAATATAAGCTGATTTTGTGAGTGTGAAATCCTAAAATAATTTTAGAAACCGCTTTTATTCACATGGTTTAGTGGCAATTTTATCTTTCCTACTAACAGAATTTATTTTATAGAAACTGATATGGTATGCAACCTGGAACCTAAAATTTATGGATGACTGTGGGAGGTTGAGAACAGCACATAAAGATCCAATTAGCAGAATGCTAAAGTACAGAAAATATGTTTCTGGCATAAATGTAGCTTGTACATACACATGTGTATTTCTATATAATTTATATACAAAAGAAGGATGCTTCATTCATAGGATACACATAAATTTCTTTGCCTTTTAATAAAACTCTGTTGTCAATATATGAATCATTTGATTATTTAAATATATCTGTTACAAAATATAATTTGGTTCTTTACAGAATATAAATATAGTGAAACCTAGTATGTTTATTTTACACCATCTAGTAAGTTTTAAATTCATGCCATTTTAAGGCAAGAGTGTCGTCATGTTCCAAGAAATATAAATCATGTTAACGATTTTTAGGGGGCATGACGGATACAACCACAGGTTCAAGAATGACAGTGTCTCATTCTGTTAAGCAGATGCCACCTAGGAAAGGAAAATTAACATTAGATTACCTAAAGCTCAGGCAGTGGTTTTGATTAGGGACTATGGTTCTCCTCTGTGTTTGGTATTAGGAGACTGGGCTAACAGCACAGTATAGAAAAGTGCCTATTTATAATAGTTACTTTGAAACATGAAGAAATTAATTTCTAGTAAAAGTTATTTTCTTATAAAGTTACTGGACTTTGAATGAAGAATAAATATAATGATTATGCATAAAAATTTTCAATTTTGACAATATATTTTGTCTATATTAAGACAAAAACCAATTAATACAATGCATTACACATCAACATTTGATAAACAATAAAATGTGGCTAAATGTTTGAACAATTACATAGATTTATTAATATATTAGTATTGAAATACTGGTCATATTAATGAATAGACATTTTCTTCTTATTTTTCCCCTCTAATCCCCAAACTTCTCTGATTTCTAACTAGTTATAAAGGAAAGCAGGTGAATCTTTGGTTTTCTGCATTCTGTGTTCTGTAATGTCTCCTATACTTGTAGTTTTTCAAAGTTCTCCTGGGTTAAAGATAGCTCTAAACATAACAGATTCATTTTTTCAATATAAAATATACACATAATGGCATCTAGGTCAGATAGCAATTTCAAGGCCTTCTCATGAATAACTGATGACTTTAATATAGATCTTTTTGTCTATCTTATTTACAGCCTGAATCAGGTGGGGTAGGATTGGAAAGGAACAGGATCATAAGATGCAACCAATGGATGCATTGTGTATGTCCTGAGGTAGTATTTTGTCTTTAAAGTAAGCAAATATTGTTCTAGACAAAGTAAAATACATTGTCCTTAAGAGAAAGACAAGTTTCCCAGGCCTGGTCAATGAGCTAGAAATGTTGGTGTCCAAATGCTCTATCCAGCTAGAGTCCAATACTTGATTGTTATCAGTGGTCATTGCTGGAAGCCTAGGAAGGCACAGTCATACAAACTGAAGGGCTTCTAGGAAATGGATTCTATTCTATGTCCCAAGGGAGGGGAGTTTGCATAACTGCTGCTTCTATAGGGAAAACACTTGCTTCACAGATTATTTACAGTTGGTATTTGAGTCAAATACTTTAGGCCAAAAAGTAATATAGAAACAAAGGCTTCTGTATCAGAGTCTTTGGATTTGATATATCTAATTTGTTTTGGTATGTGCACATGTGTGCTATACATGTTCATATGTGCATGTGTGTGCAGGAGTGCCACATCCCTGTTTGCACCTATGAAGGCAAGAGATCAATGCTGGATATTTTCCTCAATGGCTTTCCACCTTTATTTATTTATTTATTTATTTATTTATTTATTTATTTATTTATTATGTATTGTGTATTATGTATGTATGGATGCATGCATGTACTTAGAGACAGGGTCTCTCACCGAACCTGGTGCTTGTCCCTCAGCTAAACTGGCCAGCCCGTATGCTCCAGGGATATAGTCCTCTCTGCTCACCCAGATGGCCATGCCTGTTTTCTCTCATGGGTGCTGAGGATCTGAACTTGGGTCCTCATATTTGTCTAACAAACAATTTACCCATTGAGCCATCTCCTGGCCTCTGATTTACTATGTGTTTGCAAAAGACCACTCATTTGAATAGAGTTGGGAGAGAAAGGGTGACTTGTTTAATTTCATAGATTACCTTGTTAATATAAATACTGATATGTAGAAGGTTCATTGAGATACAACATTTGATTATAGAAAAAGAGTGCATTTAGGACACTGTTTTGGTTTCTTCTGAATTTGTAAATGTACCAATCTGAGGTCTTTAGTCAAAACCACATAAACAAATAGGATGGATGGACCCACACTAAAGGACATTTGGGGACACAAATTTGACTATATATATATATATGCAGAGAGAGAACATTTAATTTGTGAGAGAATAACAAGGAGGAAGTGCTGCTATGGGTGGGGATTTAAATATGATCAAAATACATTGTATGAGATTCTCAAAAATTCAATAAAAAATAAAAAAAATGATTTCGATAGGATTTGATATATATCGCAGAGAGCGTGAAAATTGACTGCTGGGCTATAAAAGGGGTGCAGATAGGGGAGGCGCTGTGAATATGACCGGAACAGATTGTATGAAACTCACAAAATTCAATACAAATAAATGGGATTTAGGTTTATCGAGCATAGGGCTCTCCAAATTGAATTCATTATCAATCCTTCCCATTTTTCTCTTTTTCACACTTTTATGAGAGTGTCTGGATTTCAAGTTAATTTTAGAAATGATGTGAAAAGTTGCTATGAAGAAAAATCAATTATTTAATTCTTCCAAGTATAATTTAACTTAAAATTTTAACTTATGTAACCAATACAATTATACACACGCACATATGTACATATATATTAGTATAAGATTCATCCCCCTTCTTTTCTTTCCTGCTGATAACAGTCCTATAGAATTTAAATTCAATTAGGATTACTTACTATCAAATAATATTAAAGATTTTCACATGATAGCCTTTCCTTGGCTTGGTGTAAGCCCTTCCTATAAACGAATTTCAAGAATTTTTGAAGAACCACTCAGTGTGGTTAATGAGATGTATTGTGACTTCAGCAGCATTTCTTACTCTGGAGTCTACAACAGCATGCCTCACTGGGAATATTTTCAGTGAAACATACCATCACCTGATCTTGTACAACACAAAGAAGTGTAACTACATCAGCTAAGACCGCAGAGATGGTATAATCTTATGAGACCCATTACTTATGTAATACCATTGACCTACTTATAGTTACTGCATGAATAAGTGTGTGTGTGTGTGTGTGTGTGTGTGTATGCACGTGTGTACAGTCTCAGTTTCTCAAAAGTAGGACATCAAAAGAAGTAATAGCACGGATCTGAAACAGGACTATTTCAGAGGCATGTGTTTGTTTCCTAACTCTAAGCAGAATTTTTAGAACGATTATGCGCTTTGAATAGCCAGTAGGATACAGCAACTACAGTACACAATAGAAGAATCAAAGCAGACAAGCGTACATTCTAAAACCGGTTCTGTGTTCATGAATAGGATTTTATCCTCCAAAATAGTACCTTGAGTTTATTTTGAAGACAGCAAGTATTTCAGGGAACCTGAAGATATCCCTGGAAAAAATGCATTTTGGGTCTCATTTTAATTCAGACTATGTTTTATCACTATTAGGATTCAGTCCTTAAGCTTTAAAAGTGAAGCTTTAAATCTATGTGTATATACTATATACAGATAGAAAAATCTTATTTTACTCACAGGCAAATTGAAGCATGGCTTCTCTACTGAGAATACTTCCAAAAGTGTTGGTTGCCAAACATTGGTACTGACCGAAATCTCTGCCCTCGCTCGGGTTGCTTATAATAAAGGTGCCGTCTATCAAACTGTAACGATAGTCACTCTCCAAATCTATTTCTGTTCCATTTCGGAGCCATCTTAGGAAAAAAATAAGAAGACAAATACATACAAATTGCTTGAGATATGATACTTTCTGGGAGTGTTATAATCTAAGTGATAGGATTTCATTTTCAGGGGTCTTACTATGTAATCCTGGCAGCCTTGGGACACAGAAACTCACTATGTAGATCAGTCTGGCCTTGAACTCACAGATATCTACCTGCCTTTGCTTTTCTGAAGGAAGTTGCTTTTAAAAATTTGTTTATTTTTATTTATATGTATGACTGTTTTGCTTGCATATGTATAAGTGTACCTGTGTGTACAATGTCCAGGGAGGACGGAAGAAGGTATCAGATCCCCTCAAACTAGAACTATTGGACAGTTGTTAACCAGCATGTGGGTACTAGGAACCAAACTCAGGTCCTCTGCAAGTGGCCAGTTCTCTTAACCTCTGAGCCCGCTCTCCAGGCCCCCTTAGGAAGTTCTTAAAGTTGAATAGAATCGATGCAGAGTCTATTTCTACCTGTAAGTAGGAGCTGGGTTGCCACGAACTTCACAATTCAGGGACACCTTCTTCTCCTCAGAGTCAGTTGGGAAAATGACATCATCGGGTTCTTGTACAAACACTGGTCCGTAGTCCACGCTTTCTGCAAAGACCAAAAAAGTCTTTAAAATTCTTCAGTGCAGAAAGGCAATGTAGTTCCCCAGATACATTTTACTCAAAATACTTGTTACTCTTTGTTACCAACAGTTAAATTTCGAAAAGAAAATATAGCTAACAAATAATTTTATTAAAATGTATAACACTAAAATAATTTTGAATAGCATTTTAGCTAATGGGTATGATATTTATCACATCATCTTTGTTTTTAACCTCTTAAAGCAATAAGGAAAATAATATAAGAGCAATTCTTAAATATTAAAAGTATACACAACACTTAGAATGGCAAAAGTAACATACAATTAAGGTTCCAAATTCATATAGTAGCAAACATTACAGATAGGAAAACATTCATTTTCTTGTACCCTTTGAATATTTTTCCACTTGATTTTTAATATAATTTAATTAATTGTTTGAGAATGTCTTACAAGCATAATGCATTTTGGTCAAGTCTTTTCCCTGCCCCCTCCCATCCATATCCTCTCACACCTCCTATTCTCTCTCAGGTACAGGGCCATCCACTGGCACATGGGCAGCCCACAAGGGGCTGCATCCCTTTAGAAAACTGACAGGACCTTGCCATCTTCCCAGGCTAGCCTTAAACTCATGATCGTCCTCCCTTAGTCTTCCCAGGGCTGGGAGTATAGCTGTGCCCTGCTAAGGCCAGCTCATCTTCTTTAGATGTCACTCATTCACTGGAACACTGTTCAGTGCCAATGACTAGAATGTAAGGAAAAATCATATAAATAAATATAGCTTCATAAAATAAATAATGCATGTCCTAAAATAAAGTTAAAATATCAAAGATTTATATATTAAGTTCTAAAATAAGGTGTAAATATAGAATATGAGATCAGGCAGAGAGGGTCTGTTGTGATGGCTCAGTGGTTAAGAGCGCTTACTGTCCTTCCAGAGAACTGGGATTTGATTCCCAGCACCCAGATGGAAGATAAAAACCATCCATAATTCCAGTTCCATGGGATCTGACTCTCTCTTCTGACCTCTGTGGGCATTGCATGACACAGGTGCACCTACCTACATGCAAGTAATACACTCATACACATATAATGAAAATAATAAATGAAATATTTTTAAATGATCAGATAGAGGAGAAAAGGCACAAAGTCCCGGGCTGTGGAAATCTTTATGTCCACTGTTATTTCCTCCTCTTCTCTCTCTTTTGTGCTTTAACAATTATTAAGTACTTTCTCACATATATTATCTCATTTTCTGATGTCAGAGGGAGTTCCACAACATAAGCCATGTGGTAAGTAGTTGAATCTTACTAGGTTTCTCTGGCTCCAGATTTTAATTTCTGAAAATTGTCAAAATAGAACAAGAGAAATAAAAGTTTGTTGGGTTTAGTAAAACTAGAGAGTGTACTTTGGTAAGATTTTAATGGAATGACTTGTATTCTAAGGCTATTGTCTACACTGTAAACAACATCATTTTTTTTTTTATCAGTGTTGCTCCCAGAACTGTGAGCTCTCTTCAGAATCTCCATCATCTTGAATTACTACAGACCAGTACCCAACCCAAATACAAACAAAAGATAGGAAACAAGCTTTTTAAAATATAATATACTTAAAATGTCAAGAGATGCAATACTTTCTGCTTTTTATTACAAGGTGACATTCTTAACAATTTTGGGGGCTTATAAGTATTTCATTAGCATGTATCAATCATACATAAATGAAGTGCTTCACTACGGTATTTTGTACACGTGTACAGTGCATTTTGGCAATGTTCCTTTTTTTTTTTCCTTCTTTTTAAGGCAATCTTCAGATATGCTTTTTTTTTCATTTTTTAGAAGAAGCATTTCATTACAGCTTTAACATACTCAATAACAGTTTCCAGAGCAAAGATACATCTCTTTCAAAAGTGGCTATAAAATTTTTAGGTTCACTGTTAAACTAATACAGTTATACAATACTGAACTCAGTATAAACCTTGTAAAACATAAAATTGAATGAATTTCTCATCTTTTTAAAAAATAAATAATTTATTAAGAATTTCATACATGTATGTAAGGTGTTTCAATCAAATCCATGCCCACTCCCTCCCCTCCAACTCCTCCCATATCTCCCCATCACTTTTTTCTGATAACTTCATGTACTCTTTCTTCTTTGATTTATGTATATTTTTAATGGGGCTTTTGGCTACTCTAACACTCCCCTCTCTGAAGAGGAAACCCTAAAATCTCTTGAGGATTAGATAAAAGCTTCCAAATACTTTCAACATTTTGGCCTTTGGAACAGAGTTTGTTGTTAACAGGCCCAAGGACATTGTGAGTTTTGGCCAAGAAACTGGCTACATTTCTTCCGGGTCTTTTTACCCTAACTGCCTAGCCAGTTCCTACCTCCTATTCTTATTAAGCCATCCTCTGAAGAGGTTCCCCAGCTTACCGATAGGTAATAGGGACGCAGGCCTAAGCCCGCTCTGGCGTCTTCCATGCTTACCTCTTCCGCACTCTCTTGTCCCCTCCACTCCTGCTGCTACTTCCTCTTCCCCACTCATCATATTCTTTCATGTCTTTTGTGGTTGTTAATTTGTTTTCCAATGAGTTTCATTAGGATTGCTTAGAGAGGTATGGGTGAGAGGTTCTTTTTTTAAAAAATTTTATTATTTTTATTTCTGTGTATGAACGTGTTGCCTGTATGTAAGTGAGTGCACCCCTGTAGTGCAATGCCGTGGAGGTCAGAAGAGGGCTTCGTATTCCCCTGGAACTGGAGTTAAGGACGGTTCGTAGCCACCATGTGGGTGCTGGGAATTGAACCCGGGCCCTCTGCAAGAGCAGTCAGTGCTCTCAACCGCTGAGCCATCTCTCCAGGCCCAGGTAAGAAGTTCTTTACAGGACCACCCCCACCTTACCAGAGGCTAAGCCTCTGGAGACAATGTCTCTCCCTTACCACATCAACCATTGACTATGGATAAGTTCTCAGGGGTGGAGCCCTTTGAGCCTCAGTCCCATTAATGACAGAATGTTGATAGGCCTAATCTTATGTAGATCTTGAGCAGGTAATAACAGCTGCTGTGGGTTCCAAAGGGCAACCTATAGCACACACATATGGGCAGGACTCTGGGAATACTACAAGTGGAACAAAGAGGGAAGACAGATGACACCCAAGATGGCCGTGTGTCCGGGCTGCAGTGTGTGGGGCAATGGGGGTGTCAGCGGGAATGGGGGGGGTAAAGGTGATTAACACTGTTTGACACATTTCATATGAAATACACAAAAATTCAATAAAAACAAATTCAAACAATTAAAAAGAAGGGCATGGTGGTGCACGCCTTTAATCCCAGCACCCAGGAGGCAGAGGCAGGCAGATCCCTGTGAGTTCAAGGCCAGCCTGGTCTACATAGTGAGTTCCAGGACAGCTGGGGCTACAGGGAGACCCTGTCTCAAAAATAACAAAAAATAAAAAATAAAAAGAAAAGAAATAAATATATTTTTGATGTAAAGACAAAGTTGTAAGATTACAAGAGGACATATTATGGGGGCAGTTTGTAAAATGATTTGATAAGAAAAAAATGAGATGGATATGGTCAAAATGCATTGTATATATGTATGAAACTCACAAAGAATAAATAAAAATTATGAAGAAAAGAGAAATTAGATCCTATTTCTCACAAACTCACAAAGAATAAATACAAATCATGAAGAAAGGAGAAATTACATCCTCATTTCTTACTAGGCACAAAAATAAACTCCAAGTTAAGTAGAAGTATTAATATAAGACCCAAAACACTAAAATTTCCATAGAGGAAAAATTAAGGAAAGCACTTCAAGTCACAGTATAGGTAAGGACTCCATAAGACAGCAGTCACTCGGAAGCAGGCCAACAACTGACCAGTGAAACCTCCTGAAATTAAAAGGTTTTTTGTATTGGCAAAGCACAGTTAAATCAATGAAGACACAGTCTAGAGAATGAGCAAGAGCATTTACCAGCTCTGCATCTGACAGAGGAGCCATATCCTAGAATATACACAGATGGCTCTGTGGTTAAGGACACTGGCTGTTCTTGCAGAAGACCTGGGTTCAAATCCTAGCACCCACATGGCAGCTAACAAATGTCTGTAACTCCAGTTCCAGGGGATCTGAGATCCCCTTCTGATCTCTGCAGGCATTGCACAACACGGGTACACTTACCTCTTCAGGCATTGCACGACATGGGTGCACTTACCTACATGCAGGCAATACATGCATACACACAAAATAAAAATAACAAATAATAAATAAAATTTTTAAAAAATGCAAAATAAGCAAGAAAGTAGTTTTTAATTACTACATGTGTGTGTGTGTATGTGTGTTGCTTGTGTAAGTCTGGCTGCTTGTATGTCACTGTTCAGATACCACTCAGCATGTGTAGAGCTCAGAGGACAGCTTCTACCATGTGAGACACAGGGAATATTTGACTCTTCAGGTGTGTGGAACAAGTGCCTTTAACCACTGAGCAATTGTGCATTGTAACATTTCATCATTACATTATTTATGTTGGTGTTCCCAACTGTCCTCACTTATCCTCTGTTGCTGGTCCCCTTCCTCCCTGGAATAGCCCCCTCTAGCCGCTTTCCTGTGGCACATCTTCCATTACGTTTTCTTACTCCCCTCTGTTCCCTTTAGACCTCTTCCTCCATGTCCATGGCTCCCTGTCTACTTGCAGGTTCTACACATAGGGAGTAAAGACTGCAAGTCCATGTAGAGCTTCCCAGTCCCCAGCAAGGGTTCACGGTGAGAACTCTTTGACTCAGTCTCAATGATTTTCAATGAAAGTGCCTAAAAATGTCTAAAGAGGTTACTTTTACAGCTCCATACTGAAAATGCATATTATTATTTTTAATATTATTGATGCTCTTATATTTTGAGTCATTTCGTCTGTTGCAGAGTAGTCTATTACCCTAATGCACTGTTTAAAGTCATACAGTTAACATTTGTTCTTACACAGACCAGTGTAATCTATAACTTGTGGGGACAGACTTGAGAGT